ACAAGCTCTAGCTGGACCATAGTTTCCTATCCCCTTGCAACTATCCATGCCCCACTGTTATTTCTCAAAACAGCAGCTAGAGGAATTCTTTAAAATGCAAGTCAAACCATGATGTTTATCTCTTTTAAATTCTACATTGGTGCCCATTTTCAATCAAAATTAAAGTAAAAGTCCTCCCCAGAACCTAGAAGGTCCAATCTGATCTGGCCACAGTCAAATGCCTGAACCTCATTTCTGACGATAGTCTCTCCTTCATCTGCTCAGCTAGAGCTGCTCTGAATCCCTGGGTGTTTCTCTAGTAAGCCAGGAGCACTGAAAGGCATTTGAGGAGCACTTAAGTGGGGGGGAGCTTCCCCTCTCCCTACCTACTCCCATGACTAATGCCTTCACCCTCTTCACTTCCTTGCTCAGTGAAGTCAATACTAACAATTATTTGAAATTATAACCCTCCTTCATAACTACCAATGTCCCCTTACTTGACTCTATTTTTCCCCTTTTTCTCCCCAAATTTTCCTCTTTATAACATAAAAATACTTTGCTAATATATTTATTTATTCCTATCTCTCCTAGCACACAGCTCCACCACATCTAGGGTCTTCAGATTTATTCCCTGATATATTCTGAGGCTCTAAGCAGGGCATGTCACATAACAAGCATTCAGAAAAATAAGTGCTAAATGAATGAATCTGTGTCACCTCCCTCAAACTGCCAAGATGTCATGAATCACTGTTTCCTTTATTAATTTAACTCTTTGTACATGCCACTCTTTCAGCCCTTTTTTCCTGATTTATCGTTATTTATATATCTGTCTTTCTCCTTATTCAACCATGATCTTTTTGGACATTTTCTATATGTTTATTTTCAGAAACTAATACAGTCTGTAATATAGCAAAGGTCAAGTCATGCCAACTTGATGAACATACAAAGGTGCTGACTTGCGTATTTCTCTGACGCCAAATCACTAACACTACAAGTCAGTTTCTATTTAAAATGTCTCTCTTCAACCCCCACTCCAGATACATGTACACACACACTCTACTAATTGAGATAATTTAAAACTATTTTTCACATATTTGCTTAATTAGCTTGCAGTGACCTCTGTGAAAACACTGGCCTCTGATGATTACAAGAGGTAGTTTTCTGGCATGGACACCAAAGCATCAAAGAGTCAGCTGGAACTAAGAAAAGCAATAACACAACTGGTTTTAATTACTCATGACAGGCAGTTGAATATATCTGACACAGGTCTTCTCCCCAATATATCACTCAAAACAGGCGAGTTACAGGAAATGGTAGAGAGAGAGAAAAAAAAAGATGGAGCTAAAGTCTGTCCATAATATAAAGCAGATCATCTTTCACACAGATAACCTTATTCCTTTTGTTTTATATTTTTATGATGGTCCCAAATCTACAGAATTGCTGACCCTTTAGTATTTGATATGCTTCTATGTTGGTGCTTAGGAGTAGTGGTTCAGGTTCTTGCAAGAAGAGTTAGGAGAAGGTTACAGCCATTCATGAATCACTGTAAAAACCTAGGGGTCCTCCAAAGTTCATGCAGAATTGCGGACATGTTTGCAATTAATTCTTCTGTGAAGTACAGGTAAGTACCTTCTACTTGTAGTCAGCATTCACAGAAGGATTGACTTCAACTATCATCGATTTCTTTGGGTTGTTGCTTAGCAGGAAAGAGGTGGGGATTTGGAGTCATGTCGTGATGACTACTCACTATTTTATTGTATTTCTCTTGTGAAGTACACCCTCTCATTTGATGAGACTGTGAGCTCCCAATTGGTCATATCTGTTGGTTGGCTCCTATTGAAAACTAGAGATTTCCTAAGTAGGCAAGATTTTACCTTAGGGCCTAACTTTGTTATAACAAGCTTCTCCCAGATGCTTCCCTGGTCCCTGAGCTCACTGCCTTCTTGTTTCTGTGCATTTCCTGGCAAGAACTTGACAGCTTTCATTGTTTGATCATGGGTTTGACCAGATTTACACAGCCCAGGCCTCATGGAACTTCAGAGGCCCTTGGTTTTATCCTGCTGCTGTGTTCTTATTCTTGTTTGAAATTTACAGAAACATACTGTCCCTTGAGTCTTTCTACTTTTAACATCACCTGTCATACTTTCAACACTTTTGAGTCCCTGCAGTGTACAGGGGTCCATGTGAAAGATGGAGACTCTAACCATAAGTGCTTCATTAAAGACTGAGATCTTAATAGAGGAAATAGCAAGTATGCAGAGGATTGCCATGCACTGGTTAAGTGCTGTGATATGTCAAACAGAAGGTATGAGGGTAGCCTTTCTGGAGTAAGCAATGTCTAATCAGAATGGACCAGATGAAAAGGAGTGAGACATGTCCTATTTTAGGGAAGTAAAACTTATAAATGTCATTAGTTCCTCATGTTCCCTATGAGAACTATAAGTAGTCAAGTACAGCTGCTATGGGTGAGGGAAACAGTGGAAGGGGAAGCCAGGACTAGCTTGTGACTTTCATCATTTGAGAAAGAGTTGAAATCATCCTACCAGGGATGGGAAGAAATTAAACATTAAACATAGCATACATGATTAGATTTATATTTTAGAAAAACTGGCATCACTATGGAGACTAGATTTCTCCATTTAGCTATTTCTCTTAATCAGGACCTCATGCTTGCCTGCTCCACCTTATATTTCTATGACTCTGAAAAGTCCAACCCCACACCCTTTTCTCCATCGGTATCCTCAAACTACAGTAATAACCAGAATCAGTTTGAAACTTTATAAAAAATACAAATTATTTGATCCCACAAAACCAGGCCCTCATGGGGAGAGAGCCTGGGATCTCTATTTTAGAAAAGTTCTATGATTCTAAAGCAGCTGGATTCTGAACAGAATTTGTGGACTAATGTAGTCTGTGGCTTATACCACAACACAGACGTGCTGATAAACATCAGCTTACTGAATTAAATTGAAGATGACTGGAGTATGCCTCATTCTAAATGTCTCCCTTCTGCAGTATCTATGACATTGCTCCCTGCACCAGGAAAATCAATCCCTCACTTTCACCCACAAGAACTTTCCCTTGTTTTTTGAATAACATAACCGAACCTTGATTTGACCTACCCAGCAGTGTGATCAGGCTCCCATAGCCTCTCCTTTCCACTTCTTTCTTTACCTTGTACTTATTACTAAAAGAAGTGATGAGGAATGTTGATACAATTTATTTCCCAACTGTTCCTTTCTCAGTTAAATTAAGGACATTGTATCAAGAAAAATTTTAAGAATGGAAAGTGACTTAAGTTAGAAAGAAAAAAAATGGGCCCTCCCTAGTGGCACAACAGTTTGGGAGCAGCACTGCAAGCTAGCCAGAGCCAGTTCAGTGCAAGTTCGATCCCCAGCTCTGGAGGTGATTCGTATGGACGGCCCGCTGCTCCTCTCAGCAGTGTACTTCGTCAATCTGCCTGTTCACTCTGTCTCTGGTGAATCCTCTCACCACCCCTGTAACTTTGGCCTGTACCCCAGTTCTGTATGTAAAAATAAATGAATCTTTAAAAAGAAATAAAGAAAAAAGGGAACAGGGATTGCTGATGAACCTCCAATACTCAACTAAGTTAAAGATCATATACCCATAATATGGGACAATTATGTCATTTTCTCCTTAAACTCAGGAACCCTGAAACAGAAAAAATTGATAATTGTGTCAGTTAGCATCTGATCATTGGCAAAGCAGGAATTCAAGACATAAGGGAATCAAGGTTCACCATTGATTTAGTGCTGGCATCCTACCTGTTAACCAATGGCTCTAACTTACATTCTGTTATGTTACCCTAGAACATGGTAAGTAACATATCACTGCTGTAAGGCTCCAGGGACAGAGTCAACAACATAATTTTCCAGAACATAAATGATATTATTTAGATAAAACTACAACGAGATGGTAAATGTTTTACAATGGTTGTTTTTCTCCTAAGTTAGAACTATGTGTTGCAAATAAAATTTTTATAGTGATAGGACATTCATTTAATAGACCTTCACTCAAATTTATCCTTTGTATTTCATAACAGATTCAATACATATCAAAGCACAAATATGTACATCAGTAGGAAGATATTGGAATAGTTTAAAGATAACACATCTTTGTCTTTAAACACTTTGTTAATAAAAATTAAGTTACATTTTTGTCTTTTAAATATTTTAGATTATTTTTCATCATTGCAATCCTTAAAATTAATCTATTTAGTTCAGTTTTCAGGTTTTTCATTTCCCTTCTCTTTCCAATGTACATCCATGTCAATTTAGGAGACAGGAACAGCTGCAATTGAAGCAAGCACTGTAGGAAGCCAATGACTAAAATTAGATTATTAATGACATTTACTTATATGTTCACAGCTAAAATTTCAAGAGTACAACACTGAAATACAGACTTCTGTTATTAAATTGCATCCATATTACATCATTGGGTGATGAAAATGACCCAAAATAGAAAGTGAAATCATCATATTTTTTTTTAAACAAGAGAAAGGCCAAAGACAAAATTAAGTAATAGACTAGTTTTCAGAAGATTATCTGACAAGGTAGCCTTGTTAATTGGAAGAGGAGGGTTGGTTTCAAAGAAGCTGTAGGCCCAACGAGGAAGGAAGTATAACATATTTAGCAGGAGCACAATGAAAAGGGGACCTAGACTTTGCCCCACCCACCCAGTCCTACTCTATAATGCAATACATCAGAGACCACAGCAGGTTGGATTTTGTGAACATTGATCCCTTTTCTGTTTTTGTGTATACATGTATAGTTGAGGTGGACATAGGCAGATTCTTAAAATATTTGTCCTGATGCTTCATGACTCCAATCTTTCATAAAATCTACAGTATCTGAATGTAGATATATGATTGGTGGAAAAGTGTAAATACTAAGTCATCTTGAATTTCCAGGCATGCATTGAATACCTCTATCCCAACATGAATTGTAAGGGGCACCTCAGAGGAAAACTCAGAGCATCAATGTGCAGTTCAGCTAGTTTTGCCCACTGTGGATCAAGAATGTCCTCTGTGCAGTGCAAACATCCACACTGGGATGCACTGTTCTGGAAAGTCATCCTGCTTCTCCTGGCCCAGAACCACCAGCCCACTCTTCCTGATGAGGCTCTGGAGTGTGTCCATATTCCGAGTCACACTGCTGTCAGAGAGATCGAAGACACAGCCCTCCCGGGCCACATTGTCCTTCAGTATGATGACTCCATTTTCTTTCAGGCCATCTCGGCAACGGGAAAGAAATGCAAGAAGGTCTTTATCAGTCAGATGCCCTACAGGTGAGGTTAAATGGATGGGGGGAAGAGAATGAAATGGCAGGTGGGGAAGAAGATGAGTAGGAAAGACATCAGGACTATGAATTAGGTAACTAAATTTTACCCATTTGTGAATGATCTATGGCTCAAATTGTTTTTACTTGCAGGAAGTTTAGTTAAGAGTATATATCCTCTTTGAAGGGATTCAACTCCTGTCTATGAAACAAATATTATACTATCTTTTTTCCGATGTACTTCACAGGTATGATAAACTACTGCCCACACCATGTGAACCCAACAACCCAACTCTATAATACTTCTCTATGTCTTCCATATACACAACACAAATCCAATTCATTGCTATCTCATTTCCTGGGACATAAATCTAAGAAAGTGCTGTTTTGCCAATCAATAAGGATATTTTTTGGCCTCATTCCTAAAGTATTTAGGTCTCTTTAAGGTTCTGGGTGGGTCTAAAGCACAGGGTTCTCAGTGACAGGATTTGGCAGGCTTGTACAGAGGATGTTAGGGAAGAAATTTGGAGGTCCAGAGTTTTTTTTTTTGGGTGTTCACATAATATTCAAGATTAGCTAACAGCTCTAAGCACAACTACAACCAAGTCTCCCTTTATATCCTTGTCTCCTCTCTACCAGTACTCAAATTGGCCCCAGGTATTGTCTTCTCTATCTAGGAAGTGAGTGAAGGGCAGGTGAACATTATGAAGGACTAACCAGAAACCCATTGAATCCAGATGGTATCATATCTCCCCAGTGGGGGTGTGAATTCCTGCAGGCTGTAGCAATGATAACTTTCTGTCTTATCCCCTTCGACCTGCAGGTAGTTCTGGGCTTCAAGGAGGAAAGGTTCCATCATGTCCACCAATTCCACGCTGTTGAAAACTGGCAATAAGACGTGCTTGCTGACCCTTCCTATCCCAGAGCCACAGTCCAAGGCACAGTCTGTTCCAGCTCTCCCAGGACCCTGCAGAAAGGCACCTTGTGGAATACTTCAGGTAAGATAAATACTCAGTATCTTGAACACCCCAATGTTCTCATTAAAATCAAATTTATTTAAGTCAAGTTCATGTAACAAAACACAACTTTTTAAGTATACAATTCAATGAGTTTGAACAAGTATATACAGCCAGGTATTGAATTGAAATAGCATTTCAAAACATAAAAACATCTTAAATGTTTAAAAACTTGATCTTTTTTCTAATAAATGGACTATTGAAATTATAAGAATATAGAAATATAAAAACTTTAATAACTTTAAATTTGGATCGATCCCACAGCTAATTGCACCTGCGTTATAGCTAATTGCTTTTAAAGGAAGAAAGAAAGAAAACAAGGAAGGAAGGAAGGAAG